TGTAGGCCTCAGAGAGTCAAAGGCTTTTCAAACAGGGAAGACTAGCTTGCTGGCAGAGGACGGATTCACTTGAGAAGCTGACAGCATCAATGTCCACAGGGGAGGCTAAGATTTGAACTAACAAAGAAACTAAAAATGGTGGAGGACTGTCTCTGGGTTCAGGGACGGACATGATGTCTCTGAACTATGGCAGCTTTTTAAATTGTTCATTTCTCGTTAGAACCTTTTCATCCTATTAAAAACCTATCGAAAGCCTATTTAGTTCTTAATCATCTTCCCCTACAAGATGGTAAGCTCCCTAATGATCTTTGGCCTGGATGTGAACACGATTTAATTGCGAAAATGGGCATGTGAGTTCACGTGTTTCAATGACATAACTACCGTTAGTCTAGACAAATACAAACACATTTTCTCCTCTATTTTTAAACAAAGTGAAATTTAATAAATTATATCCTCACTATTTAACAAGGTTGTGATCATTGTGTCATAACTTGTAGCTGGTAAATGAAAAGCAATGTGAAAAGAGTTGGTCCTTTTTTATGACATCTTTGCATAGAAAGGTTAACTCATCTGAATTAAGAAAGAACTGAGGAGAATCTCCATGAATGCCCACTGTGCCTGGCCCCAAGGAGTTAGACAGGGTGTTCACAAAGGAAAACACTCCACTCATGATTCCAAAGCCCAAGCCAGAAACTAAAGAGGAAGAAAAACACCGTTAAGCCCTTTTCCTGTTATGCGTTCAGCTCAAATCTAATTTACGAGGACTGGGGAATACTACTTCACTGCAGGGAACAGGGCACACCTGCTGTTGCTGAAGCCTCAGCAAGCTGGAAGGCTCAGTGAGAAAGGAGGGGAGGAAAGGAAGCACAGGATGTCATAGTCAATGAACGAAGGAGGGGAGGAAGAAGAGGGTAATGCGCTAAAGGAGATCCTCTGTGTGTGCACGCACACGCACACGCACACACATACACTCATGCCTGCATTAATTTGTGTGTGCTATGTGCAGGCTGTGCAGGTATTGGCTCCCCTAGAACTAGAGCTACAGGTGGTTGTGAGCCATCATCTGGGTGCTGGGAACTGAATTCAGGTCTGCCAGAGCAGTAGGTGTTCTTAGCTGCCAAGTCATCTCTCCAGCCCTTCTATTCTTTTTCTTCCTGACACCACAGGCTCTAACTTACCATAGGCCAGCAGTCACATTAGGGATGCTGTCTCCTCAGCATTTATGCTTTTCAAATCCTCACTGGATCTTCTAAAAGAAAAACGTATTTTTTATTTTTAAAGAAAAAGCTGTTTATCAAGCAGATCACAGTACCCTTCAGAACTTGATGCTTCGTGAGGCTTCTGATCAGGTTATATGCCATGGTGCAATACAGACTCCATTTGAGTGAAACCGAGCAATCTTTTTTGTTGTTACTTGTTTTGCTGCCTTGATTTCTTTTGCTTGAGAAAGGCACTCTCTACATAGCCTGGCTGACCTGGAACTCACTATATAGACCAGGCTGGCCTTGAACTCACAGAGGTCCCTCTGCTTCTGCCTTCTGAGTGCTGGGATTACAGGCATGCGCCACCACATCCAGCCTCAGCGCATTTTCTTTGCCTTTTTTTCTATTTTTAAGATTTTTTTTTAAACTTGCATTGTATTTTGCCTGCATGTGTGTCTCTGTGATGATGTAGGGTCCTCTTGAACTGGAGTTACAGACAGCCATGAAATGCTGTGTGGGTCCTGGGAATTGAACCCAGTCCACTGGAAGAGCAGCCAGTGCTCTTAACTGCTGAGCCATCTCTCCAGCCCAATTCTAGCACATTTTCAATAACTGAAGTCAAGTGAGATTTCCACCAACTTCATCTAGCTCATGTTTCCATAAGATGAAAAAATTAAAATATCAGTAACAAGCCAATAGAGATTGAGTTTAATAGTAATAAAAGCAATGCTCTAATTTCTGGGCTCAATGAATATTTGGTTTTTTATCCTGAGGGATATATCACTCTGAATTTTCTTTTCCCCAAAGTTTCAGATAATTATCTTCAACTTATGGGCCTGCTGCTGTATTTTCCACTGTGGCTCTGCTTATTCGTGTCACCCTTCTCTCTTGCACACTGAAGAACCGAAACCATCCTCACCCTTCTAGCAGCAATTTTTGTCTTTGGTTCAGGAACTAAAGCCTTGCCTCACACACACCAAGCACATGTTCTACACTGGGATCTTTGTTTTTCTTTGTTTGTTTGCTTGGTTGTTTCGAGACGGTCTATGTAACTAGGCTGGCTTCAAAATCGCTATGTAGCTAAGATGATAGGCATCCCACCATGCCTAGTTTATGAGGGGATTGAATCTGGAGCTACCTCTTCAGCTCCTTTAACACACCATTTCAGAAAAGTTAAAAAAAAAAAAGCAGAAAGACACTTCTAAAAGAGAAACCCAAACAGGGATGAGAGCATAGGTTAGTGAGAGAACTCTCGCCTAGCTTGTGGCAAGACCCTGGGTGGGGAGTGGAGGGGGCACGTGGGATACAACACAGACAGGGACAGAAACACCAAAGCTGTAGTAGTGATTATCTTAGCTTTTACTTTTCTGTAATTATAAGATCTTCCTAAAATCACAAAATGTTTATCATAACAATAGTATCAAAAAATGAATTAGGCTGCAAAACTTGCAATCTACTTTTCAAAAGTATTTTTTTTTAAATCCGTAACTCCCATATATTTCAGGCACCATACAGCAGTTTTAGACAACACAGGAGTTTACTGGAGATGTTTTTAAGACAGTGACAGTTAGGCTTTAGACAAACAACTTGAAAGTTTAAAAAGTCTGGGTGGAAAGGGCTGGAGAGAATGCCCAGTGGTTGAGAGCGCCAGTTGCTCTTCCAGTGAACCCAGACTCTATTCCCAGCACCCACACGTGACTCACAACTCAGGTCCAGGAATCTGTTGTCTGCTTCTGGCCTTCTTGGACAGCAGGCATTCATATGGTGCACAGACATACATGCAGGCAGAACATTCATACACATAAGATAAAAGTAAGTGTTAAAAAAATAAAATTTGTCAGAAATGGTCAGCATTGCAGCCATAGGCCAACTTCTCACTGTGCAAGGCTTTGTCCTGTTTGACAGTTACAATCCCTCATTCACTCATTAACTATGTAGTAACTGCTCCTGAGTCCTGACTCATGAAACAAACTTATTTGACTGCAAAGATTTATAAAAATAGGTACAAATGCTTCACATTTTAATCACGGCAGCAAATTCAGGCAGCAAAACTTTGCTTGGGTTGGTGCCTTAAACTAAAAGGCTCACACCAGTTTGTGGCAGTACAGCTATTTAAGCAGAATCTGAATAAACCGAAATCTCTAGTATTGAATGAAGTATGGCATGAGAGTTCAATTTAAATGTAGTCACTTACATCCTAGCCTGTGAATGGGAGCTCACGCCTCAGGCTTTGTTCTTAATTGTATTTGTCCTTTTGTAGACTTGAAACTATAGACAATGCTTCTCAGCCTTGTTGTGCAGTAGAGAGAATGCCCATTAGAGCTGACAACACTGAGCATCAAAGAGATCCAGTTCCTTTCCAAGGGACAGAGACAAGCAGGCACTTAAACAAAGGGTGGAGATTTTTCCAAGACTTTTTTTTTTTTCTGAGATAGGGTCTCTTAATGTTGGAACTCACTGAATAGACCAAGCTGCTCTTAAACTCACAAAGATCCTCCTGAGTCAGCCTTTGGAGTTTTACGAAACCCATTGTTGCATAGTCCCTTGGAAGAAAGAGATTAGGCGAGCATTCGTTAGTGTGGCAATGAGGAATATACTGCCAAACATGATGATGTTCTGTCACAGTGTCATGGCATACGCTTGTAATCACAGAACTGGAAAGGCTAAGATGGGAAGATTGCCACAAATTCAAGGCCAGCCTGGGTTATATAGTGAGTTTGGAGGTAGTCTAGAATACATGAGCAAATAATAAATTTATCTCAACAAATAAATGAGCAAACAAACAGACAATAAAAATACCCTACTTTCTCTAGAGGTATTTCCATGAGAAAACAGGCAGTGAAATTGGTTATATTTACCAAAAAAAAAAAAAATGGAGCTGTCAAAGCTGTCATGGTCTGTAGGAGCAACAGAAGAGATACCAGCGATGGTAAAGCAAAGATGGCCGAACCTTCGCGACTTCTGGCTGAAGAAGGTAGCAGGTGGAGGGACTGGGCTGCTGGGAAGGGGACCCAAAACCAGTTTAGGAATTAGCTTCCCTCAGAATCTTCACTCCAGGTCCACTGCCTTTGTATTAGAGAAGGAGCAGCTGACAGCCGTCTCTCCTTTCTCCTCAGACGTGCTTTCCTGTGACATGCTGTAACTCTAAGGAGGAGCACAGAACCCCAGTGCCCAGAAACTCACAAGACAAGGAAGGTCTCACCTGAGAGGAATGCCTGCATCTGTATTCGAAGCAGGAAGAAAGGTCGCAGGATGAGGATGGCTCCTGCCTGCCTAGCCTAGGTGGAGTGACCCTTCCTTCACAGCTGCCTCAGGGGACTCAGCTGTAGGCAGGAAGTGGTTTGGACCTCTGAGCTCATTAGGGCTGGGAAGTGGAGATTCCCTGCGGAAAGATTCAGGAAGGAGGGAGTGATTTGTGAAGTTAGGCCCCCAGGCTGAGCAGGACCTGAGGTAGCAGGGATCAATTCTCACTGAGTGCATGGCTTTTCTTTGTGTGGTTGGAGGCTGAGTGTCTGTCCATTGTCAGATCCTCCTGGTCACTTCTCCAAGTGAGTTTCACACTCTGACTATACTTCCCAAGCACAGGACCTCTGTTCCGTGAACTAGGGAGGACAATGTGGCCAAATCATTCCTGGGATCTCCTTGATGTCAGTGATGCTTCTGATACCATGGCACATCCTCCCTTAACCTAAGCGTGATCCCTTCTAGTGTTTGCTCCTTTCCTGTGTGCTTAGTGTTCGTCTAATTTGTTCCTTGGAACATGGGATTACACTCTGGGCAAATGATTTACTCCTTGAGCTGTATTCCCAGCACTGTGGGTCTCTTTTATTCTGAGGCTTCTGTACTCATTCTGCATACATGGCCTTGTGCTTTCCACAGGCAGACTCTGCTTTTCTCTGCGTCGTTTTCTTCTCCAAGAGGACTCTGGTGATTCTGCGTTGTTACCTTGGGTTCTCCTCCCATCTTACCCTTCCTCCTGCTGCTACTGTGCTCAGCAGGGCGCGAGCCTTGCTCTCTTGTTAGTCCTTTGATTTCCTGTTTCTTTTTTTCTTGGCTTCCAGCTTCCTGACACGCGCAGAGGAGAGTGATGGAGCTCTTTCTCTACACTGGATGGGAATGGAAGAGACAAAGGAATCCAGGGACCATAAAGGACAGAAAGGTTGAGCCCACACCTATTAGTACAGGGAAACAGAAGTTTAGGAAGATGGGAGACCCAGTTCTTAGGCAGAGGTGCAGAAATCCTTGCCCTCTCCTACGCATGGCGCTTATACTGGTGAGATTGCCGTACCTGCCATTCTCCTGGAAAACCGGAAGTACACCAGGGCTCCCATCAGAACCGCCCCAGCCCCAATTCCAAGAATGATGGCAGCAAAGGTTCCAGCTGAGAGGCAAGAACATCCTTGTCCTAGAGCGACTGTCAGGGAAAGAAAACAGAAGCAGGAATGAAAGTCAGAGCGTGCTGCAGCGGGGGTGTCCTGGAGACAGATTCTCAGCACATGCGGTCTCTGTTTGTTCCCTCAGGGAATGCATTTCTGCCTGTGTCACAGAGAAATAATTCCCATCTAGAGTGGAGGAAAGGCCTGAATTTGTATGTTAAATCAGAGATGGACCTGGTAACCTGACTTCAAGATCCATACAAAATGGTAGTAATAATTTTAGCTAATAGTAATGAAACAGTTCCTGTGTGTGTGGTATTTTGCCAACGGGTTACTTTATTGATTCAGTAAGTACTTAAAACAATACCGTAAGATCCTCCCTCCATCTCTAGAGGAAGAAATAAAAGAACATTCCACCCTTGAACACCCTGTGGAAGGAGGAGAAGAAAGAATAAAATAAATATAAAAGAGAGACTGGATTACAGTAGAGAAATCAACTCATCAAAAGATGGTGCTTTAAAAATAACATTGACATTTATCTCGATTAACTTTGTAAAATATAGATTACAATTGCTAACATTTGAAGTGAGATTTGAGGTTACTATTTTTCAGAATAATAAGAATTCCAAAGTATTAAATATATTTTATTGTATATTGTGTGTGTGTGTGTGTGTGTGTGTTACTTCAAGGCAATGAAATATGTGTCTTCGATGACATCAACTTATATGTTCAAAAATCTAAAAATTTTAGAAAAGGTTGTTAGAACTAATGGGCAGAATCAGCAAAATTAAGGACAACAAAATGGATGTGCCCAAATTAATTTTATTTCTACATGGTAATATTAACAATAAAATAATGAGATTTTTCTTGCTGCTTTCACAGAGACAGAAGGACCGTGGCGCTGAAGAGATGGGACAGACCTAGAGAAAGTTCTGGAAACGAACTGTAGTGAAGATGGTTACACACAATATGAATATGTTGTATTCCACTGAACTGTGTACCTCAGAATGGCTAAAATCATAACATATCAATTTTACCATACACAGAAAAGTATTAACACAAAAAGAATGCTATGCAAGGTCACATTGTAAACTTCAGTCTCACGATAGGAAGTTCAGCCCAATGGGCCTTTTATATCCATGTATTGGACATCTGTGGATCACAAATTATGTCCCTACTGAAAAATACATGGTAGTTTTGCTGTCATTATTTCTTATTCAGTATGGGTGACTAGTATCACCCAGCGTGGGAATTAGATATTGAGTGTTTTAAGTATATGAGAGAATGTATTTAGCCATGTGCAAAACACTGCACCATTTTCAACAGGGTCTCAGAGCAGCCACAGCTTTTGGTGTCCAATCAGTACTCCATGGTGAAATCAGTACTCCATGGCTCTGAGAGTTGACTACATAGTTGGTTCAGAACCTAAACTCTTACTTAATCCTATTGCAGTTCTATTCATTATGTTAAAATCCTGCTGGGTTTTGTTTCGTTTTGTTGAGATAGGGTCTTTCTGTGTGACCTGGGCTGGCTTCATAGTCGTGTTCTTTCTGTCCCATGTTTTATCCTAGGATTACAGGAATTTGTCACCATGTTGGCTACCTCTGTGTCTTAATAAATTCCCCCATTCTGGTATAGGATAAGAGGTGAGGTCACTCACTGATAAAAGCTAGGTGAACTGGAAAACTCTGGTTGGAACTGACCCATTGGAGATCTCACACTGATACTCCCCAGCATCTTCCCTCCTGATAGCATCTGTGTGGAGCATGATGTTATTTAGAGACAGTGACATCCTCTCGCTGACATTCAACCCTGCTTATTGAAGATCCGATGGGTGGAGAGTCTGTCAAGTGGCAAGTAGGTGAGGATCCTAGTGCCCTATTCTCTTGATATAGTGCTGTTTGCTTGAAGGGAAGTCTGAGTCCGAGGCTCCGTGAACAGAGGAAGGATCAAATAAGATTGTTCATTTTCAGAGATCTCAGCCAGCCCACTGCTGGTCCACAGATATCTAATAGAATCTATGGGGTGGAAAAGTTGGGGGGGGGGGGGGCTATAGACAGGTATCTTGTACTTTTCATCTGTCAGCGTGGCTGTGTGATTGTGATGTGGCCAATCTATTTTCTGTGTCTCTGTTTCTATATAATAGCATACATGGTAAATGATCTTTGCCATATCTGTAAGTCAGCCATAAATATAAACAATGATCTGAACTTGGGATAAGAGAGCCATCTCGCCAGGCGGTGGTGGCACATGCCTTTAGTCCCAGCACTTAAGAGGCAGGTGGATCTCTGTGAGTTCGAGGCCAGCCTGGTCTACAGAGGGAGTTCCAGGACAGGCTCCAAAGCTACAAAGAAACCCTGTCTCAAAAAACCACAAAAAATAAGAGAGAGAGAGAGAGAGAGAGAGAGAGAGAGAGAGAGAGAGAGAGAACCCTATATCCGCAGTCTACTACAAGGGAGTCTAGTACAAGGGAGAATCCACTATGCTAGACCCTGAGGACAAATAGTCAGGAGCATCTGTTTCCTCGTACGCCCATAAGAACAGATGGCTGATAGTTGAGACACCTGTACCGCTATGCTTCCCATGCTGAGTCTCAGAAGGAGATGCTCACGTCACTTAGTCTAAGCGTTTCTTTCATGACTGACTGAATTTTAGACTTCCAATAAAGCATGATTTTCTGTCAGATCCATGAGGGAGTAAGATTTCAGCCCTGGAGTAAAGCTCCCTAGGGTCAGCTGGAACTAACTCTGGGACTGAGATCTTCAGCCCAGGCTTCAGTGTGCTGACCTCTATGTAAGGATCCTATGGTTTCCTCAGCCATTTCCTCTCCGATTCCCACAGGGTCTTTCTGTTCATGGTGAGAGTCACAAGAGTCTGGGCTTAGTCTCAGATTCTCAGTTCCATTACCCCAGCACTCAGCCTCCTCTCTGCAGGATGGAGTCAGATGAAGGATCCTCACCTAGGGCAGTGTCTGCACTGTGTGTGTCTTGCACTGAACTGCCCAGTCCCAATGTAGAGACACAAAGTAGAATAGGCAGATATAGCATTGGCCTCACAGTCCAATGTGTATCAACTAGAAGTCACACAACCGAGTGCCCAGAAGTTACAAGGAATCACTTACTGTATACAGGAAGATAGTATTTGTTTGTTCACTCTGGTTATATGTATCAGGGGCTTTTAGGCTGTGGCATCCTGTATCCTTCTGGGTGACACTAAAAAGCAGCAGGGATCCATCAGTATAAATTGTCTTTCTACCATTTACATGAGTCAGTAGCTATTTTATAATGTACAATTATCATCTGCTTTGCAATCAAATCCTTTGTAGAAGGAAAAGGCTTGACAATTCTGTGATTTAGTGTGACTATGTAAAAGAATGTTGCCCCCTTCAATAATACTGTCTGGCACTTCAATGGTTAGTTTGGCCATGACTGGAGTGTTCCAGAAGGTTAAAAGTGAGACTAGAAGCAAAGAGAGAAAAAACTAATTCATTGATATTGGAACCATTTATCCCGAGTAAGTGTGTTCATCACTCAGCCTAGGTGCATGGGTCTGCCTGCCGACCTGTTGGAGAGAAGAAACATGACCTCCACTTCCTCAGCGTCACCAGAGTTGTTGCATCTTTGTTACTGTTTGATTTTTATTGTTTATTATTTATTTTATTGCTGTTTTGTTTGTGTACCACGTGCACACCTGGTGTCTGGGGTAGCCAGAATAGGTCAGCAGAACTTTGGAACTGGAGTTATAGACAGTTATGTCTTCATATGGGTGCTAGGAAACCAACCTGGGTCGTCCGGAAGATCAGCCAGTATTCTTAACCATGGAGCCATCTCCGCAGCCTCATGTTGTTTCCTCTTGATGGGATTCTCTCCTCGGGTGTCCACACCTCTCACCCTTCTCCGTTCAGAGTCACACTGTTCTGGGGTTGGGTGATGCCTCCCCTGACTTTTCCTACCGACCTGGTTTTCACCTTCTGGCTGTTGTGCTGCTGTTCTCTCTGTCCATGCCTGCAGTCCACTAGAACTAGGGATTGTGATGTCAGAGACTACTCTGGCCCGTTTATAAAGCCCTGTGCCTGGAAAAGGCCCAGATCCCTTTGAATGAATGAGTAAGTATCCAGGGCCCTGTAGTGTCCATGGAGTTCGCTTACAAAACTCACTTTTGGAGCTAGTAACAATGTTTGTTTTTTATTTAGTTTTCTTATGTGTGTGCCACAAAAGTCTAATAATGTCTAATTGAAATTTATATGAACACTTACTTACAAGTCAATTTGATACCAAAAAATACAAAAATATAAGCAGTTATACAAATACAAAAATAAGAGTTATGAAAGAGAATAAAAAGTTAATTATTTTTCTAGCTATGTCATGGACTTTTTGAGTTTGATGGTAGATTAATGCATAAAAAATATATTCAGTAGTAAAAATGGAAAACACAATGTGAAATTCTACAGCTTCCATTCTGAATAGCTATCCTAACAGAACAGCAGTTCGCCGAAATGCACAGATAAGGATACTTTTGGTGCAATTTTTTAAATATGTGATATTTTTATAATAAAGTTTTAAAAAGAATATTTCAAAAAGAAATACAATTTTAGTACCTCTGATTGTTATATTAATGAAATAAAATTGTCTTGACCTACTTAGAACCTGCTTTGGAAGGAAATCCTTACCAAAAATCTCTGCACAGAACAATAAATTTGGTGGCTGACACTCTCTGCTCTCTTTCCTTCCTCCAATGGGGCACTAATGAGGAGCTACCCAGCTCCCTCCTGCTTCTTCCCACACTCCAAACGTCTATGTCCATCTTTTTCTCTGTTCACAAATTATCTCTGCACAGTTGTGGGCTGTCTGTGTGTGTGTGTGTGTGTGTGTTTCAGTAAATGGAGCACCCGACTCACCATTTGCAGTTTGCAAGCAGAAAGTAACTCCTCTCTAGGTCCTTCTCCCTGAGTTCACCTCCTGCCACCCAGAGACTGACCTCACCTGTGAGCAGGACCCCTTTGCGGAACAACTCTACAGAAGGTAACTCCATGGAATCCCACACCTGTTTGAGTCAGCTCCGGCTCCAGCTGGTTCCTACAAGTGCTATGTGAAATCCCTGCTTCCTTACCACGGCAGCATCTGAGGGACACACTAGCAATGGAAACGTGTGTCAGGGTGCGACTGTGAGTAAAACCTTTCATAGCCACTGCCTCTCTTCAGAACTGAGATTTTAAACTCACCACCATACAAGAGAAAACGCTGCTGCAAGACTTGAAATTTTATGTTCCTTATCTCTTATGAAAGTTTAAGTTAGTGCATTATCAATCACACACCCTCTGCTTGGCATTTCCTCTAGTGGAATCAGGCAGAGACACTTTTCTTGCATCTTATTACATAATTTTCTCCAAAGAATCACCTAAATAGAATGTGACTTCTTTAAAAGTCATTTTTAAGTATTTAAACATATGAAATAACATATAAATAACACTGCACTTGCATTCATAACAGAAGTGGGAGGGAAAGAATTTATGGTGGAACAAAGTGCTATTTTTATTGGACTTAATTCATGCTGGCACTTTAAATCTACAATGGTCTAGATTTTGATAAGCAAAGGTACACTTTATAATGCCTGGGACAACAACTGAGGAAATATCATTTAAAATGATAAAGCAATTCCCAAGGCACAGAAATATTGACATCTGAGAAGAGGGAATGTTCTTTAGCCTTATTTGAACATTGCTCATGTGGATATGTATCAAAGCATCACATGGTGTGCCATAAATATATAGTTTGATGTTTGCAAAAAGTAAGCAACTAGAAATTACAGTGCATCTCATAAAACACACACAAATATTTTGTTACTTAAAAATATTAAAATGACAACTGAGAAAATATAATCTTAACACTATAATTATTTGACACAAAAAAGGCATTAAAGGCAACAGGAAAATATGAAGACAGGGCATATAGAAGTAACAAAGAGCCAAGTGACAAGTGTAATTGAACTGTATTAGTAATTACATTTAATGAACTTTTATTAAATGTTCTCATCAGAGAAATTGCCAGATGGAATAATAATGCAACAATCAACTGTTTATGCTCTATAAGTAGTTCACCATATATACTAGGGTTCTCTAGAGAACCAAAAGAATGAATATATACTAAATGAGGAGTTATTCTATTGCTTACAGGTTATGGTCAGAGTAGTCCAACAATTGCTGTCTCATAGTGAAGAGGGTGGAAACCCAGTATTTCTCAGTCCATGAGACTAGATGTCTCAGCACTATCAACCTGATACTAAAGACCTGGAGGAGTCCTGAAGAGTCTTTCTCTTCAATCTGTGTTGAAAGCTGGAAGAATCTGATTCTAACATAAACAAAAGAATCACTGTGGCCATATATACTATCTGGGTTGCTACCAGAAGATGCCACCCATGTTTTATTGTTTTTTATATATTTTTCTCTGCTTCCCTCCCCTTTTCTCCCATCCCCTTCTACCTTCTCCCATGGTCCCCACATTCTCAAGAATTTACTCAGGAGATCTTGTCTTTTTCTAGTTCCCATGTAGATTAGATCTATGTCTGTCTCTCTTAGGGTCCTCTTTGTTGTCTATGTTCTCTGGGATTGTGAATTGTAAGCTACTTTTTCTTTGCTTTATGTCTAAAAGCCACTTATGAGTGAATACATATGATATTTGTCTTTCTGGGTCTAGGTCACCTCACTCAATATGATGTTTTCTAGATACATCCATTTGCCCACAAATTTCAAGATGTCATTATTTTTTTCTGCGGTGTAGTATTCCATTGTGTAAATGTACCACATTTTCCCTATCCATTCTTCGGTGGAGGGGCATTTGGTTGTTTCCAGCTTCTGGTTATGACAAGCAATGCTGCTATGAACATAGTTGAGCACATGTCCTTGTGGCATGATTGAGCATCCTTTGGATATATGCCCAAAAGTGATATTACTGAGTCTTGAGGTAGGTTGCTTTCTAATTTTCTAAGAAATCGCCATACTGACATCCAAAGGGGTTGTATCAGCTTGCATTCCCACCAGCAATGCAGAAGTGATCCCTTTACCCCACAACCTCTCCAGCATAAGTTGTCATCAGTGTTTTTGATCTTGGCCATTCTTACAGGTGTAAGATGGAATCTCAGAGTTGTTTTGATTTGCATTTCTCTGATGACTGAGGATGTGGAACATTTCCTTAAGTGTCTTTCAGCCATTTTAGATTCCTCTGTTGAGAGTTCTCTGTTTAGGTCTGTACTCCATTTTTTTTATTGGATTATTTGTTCTTTTGATGACCAAATTCTTGAGATTTTTTTTTTGTATATTTTGGAGATCAGACCTCTGTCTGATGTGGGGTTAGTGAAGATCTTTTCTCATTCTGTAGGCTGTTGTTTTGTCTTGTTGACCATATACTTGCTTTACAGAAGCTTTTCAGTTTCAGGAGGTCCCATTTATTAATTGTTTCTCTCAGTGTTTGTGCTACTGGGGTTGTATTTAGGAAGTGATCTCCTGTGTCAATGCATTCAAGTGTATTTCTCACTTTCTCTTCTATAAGGTTCAGTGTGGCTGGCTTTTTGTTGAGGTCTTTAATCTATTTGGACTTGAGTTTTGTGCATGGTGATAGATATGGATCTATTTTCATTCTTCTACATGTCAGTATCCAATTATGCAGCACCATTTGTTAAATATGCTTTCCTTTTTCCATTTTATATTTTTTGCTTCTTTGTCAAAAATCAGGTGTTCGAAGGTGTGTGAATTAATATCCGGGTCTTCTATTTGGTTTCATTGGTCCTCCTGTCTGTTTTTATGCTAATACCAGGCTGTTTTCGGTACTGCAGCTCTGTAATAGAGTTTTAAAGTCAGGGAATGTGATGCCTCCAGAAGTTCTTTTATTGTACAGGATTGTTTTGGTTATCCTGGGTTTTTTGCTTTTTCATATGAAGTTGAGTACCATTCTTTTGAGGTCTGTGAAGAATTTTGCTGGGATTTTGATGGGCATTGCATTGAATTTGTAGATTGCTTTTAGTAAGATTGCCATTTTTTTTTACTATGTTAATTCTACCTACCCAGGAGCATGGGAGATCTTTCCACTTTCTGGTGTGTTCTTTAATTTCTTTCTTCAAAGATTTCAAGTTCTTGTCATACAAGTCTTCCACTTGTTGGGTTAGAGTTACTCCTAGGTATTTTATGCTATTTGTGGCTATTGTGAAGGGTGATGTTTCTCTGATTTCTTTCTCAGCCCATTTATCATCTGTGTACAGGAGGGATGCCACCCATGTTCAAGGTAAGTCATCCCACATCCATTAAACTGATCAGAACAATCCCCCACAGACACGCCCATAGGCCAACCTAATGCACAGAATCCCTCACAGACTCTGTTTCCCAGGTTTCTAGGTTGTATCACATTAGCAAAGCTAAACAGCACATGTGACATTTTTATTTTTTACTCTGTTTGTCTACATATTGCTTTCTCAAGCCTTCAACGTGCTAGCCAGCCTGAGTTACAGAACAAGCCCAAAAGATTCACATCTGATTCAAAGATATAGATATGTTAAAAGAAATACAGAAAAAAATCTTCCATTCAAAAAGTAATCATAATAAATGTAAAGTCATCTAGCAATGAAAAAACACAAATTAAGCAAAATCTGAAAATTGAAGAAAACAGACAATTCAAACAGAAATTTAAACCTTGTATAAAATATTCTAATCACTCTTAGTAAATGACAGAAACTCTGGGCATTAAACCAGAAAGGCTCTAAAAGACCCTTTACACAACTACCCTGACAGGTACTAACCACTGAATCTGTGTTTTCAAGTACACAAGAAACATTTTCCAGATCAGACTAAACACTAATCCATAAGGCAAATCTTCACATATAGATTTTACTTAAAGTATGATTTTAATAGAAATGTAACTAAATAAGAAACGAGCACCACAGCTCCTTCAGAAATATGTGGGGGGAAATGATGTGGAAAGTCAGCTTCATATTTCTTAATAATTCCTGGGATATGCAAGAAAT